GAGTGGCCATTCCCTTTGGTAACTGCTTGCCCACCAGATAATTGGCAAAGTCAGAATACCAAGGGGCCACAATGTCCACCAGTGTCATCGCCAGCAGTCTCTCACCTGGGAAGGAGTCATCGATCTCCTCTACGAAGTTGTCCACCGGAGGGGCTTCCAACCGTGAAAGATGATCTGCAGCAACATTCTTGGCTCCCTTCTTGTCCCAGATCTCTATGTCGAATTCCTGCAGAAGCAGGATCCAGCGGATGAGCCGAGGCTTTGCATCAGCCTTGCTCATCAAGTAGCGAATTGCCGAGTGATCTGTGTAGACCACTACATGGGAGAGCACCAGATATGGTCGGAACTTATCAAATGCATACACCACAGCGAGGAGCTCCTTCTCAGGTGGTGTAATTCTCATGTGCATCGTTCAAGGTCTTCGACGCGTAGTAGATGGACTGGAAGTGCTTCCCGCGTCTCTAACCCAGAACAGCTCCGACTGCATAGTCACTCGCATCGCACATCAGCTCAAAGGGTAAAGACCAGTCAGGAGTCACCATGATGGGAGCGTGTAGAGCTTCTCCTTCAAAGTCTCGAATGCCGCAGTGCACTCAGGAGTGAACTGAAATGGTGCATCCTTCTCCAGCAGCTTGGTCAAAGGCAGGGCAATCTTTGAGAAATCTTTAATGAAGCGCCGGTAGAAACCTGCATGACCCAGAAAGCTACGAATCCCCTTCACAGAAATGGGAGGAGGTAGCTGACTGATCGTCTCAATCTTCTGCTCGGGTGTCAGATCCGAGCTGATAATGACCGGGAGCTTATTCCCCTCCCGGAGAAATGCATACTCCAGGTGAGAGGGGAGGGGCTTAAGCTCCAACCCTAGCGGCTCCTCCAATGACGTAGCGATCCGGGGCGAGATAGGGATCGGCTTGAATGGTATCTCTCGCCCCTCGATCGCGGCCTCGTCCAGCTCCGCGAGCTGCTCCTCCAGCTGCACATCCTGTGATGCATGTTCCCCTAGCAAAAGACAACGCTCAAGGAAATCATCAGTACTCGCACTCGTGATGGCGAGTGCGGTTTCAAAATCAGCAACAACACCACAGTAGTCTAGATCATCATGGAGCTGGGGGTGTTTCATATTATCAGAAACAGAGAAGGTGATTTGTTCACCCCCAGCTCGCAAAATCAATTTTACATCATTCACATCAATGAGCGTCTTGGCGGTGGCGAGAAAAGGTCTACCCAATATCAATGGCACATCCACATCCTCATTTATGTCCAAAATCACAAAATCAACAAGATATGAAAATGGCCCTACTGCGACTATCAAGTCCTCTGCTATACCCCTAGGATGCACAATGGATCTATCAGCAAGTTAAATGCTCATCCTAGTATCACTGGGTTCACCTAGGCCTAGCTTTTTAAACAGTTTATATGGCATGACATTTATGCTAGCGCCTAAATCCGCCAAGGACTTCCCTACATGCAAACTACCAATCATGCAACGGATAGTAAAACTCCCTGGGTCTTTTCGCTTCTCTGGTAGTTTGTTCTGCAGGATGGCAGAACACTCCTCGTTGAGCATCACCGTTGACAGCTCCCCAAGATTCCTCTTGTTGGTGAGGAGATCCTTCATGAACTTGGCATACTTGGGCATCTTCGATAATGCCTCCACGAAGGGCATGCTTATGTTTACCTGCTTCAGCATTGCCATGAATTTGGTGAACTCAGTCTCCAGTCGGTCCTTGTGCAACCGAGTAAAAAGGAAGTTGTGGTACATACTTTTTCACCACTAGTTGCGGTTTAGGAGCAAGCACCTCAACCTCCTTCTCCATTTCCTCCTCATTAGCTGGAAGTGCTGAAGCAAGGGTCTCTCTCTCCTGTGCCCGCATAGGTGGGTCAGCAGTCATCTTGCCACTCCTGGTAGTAATGGCCTTGCAGTGCTCATTTGGGTCCTGCGGATGAGGGATGGTCTGACCAGGTAAAGTACCAGGAGTTCTCCAAGCTACAGCCTGGGCCCCACTCCCAAGCTGGGTATGGATGTTCCGCAGCACAGCCTGTGTGTTTCTCTAACCAGCTTCTAGCTCCAAGAACTTACCTGAAGCTTTCTCCATGAACTGCTCGATGTTATTGAACTTGTTTGCACTTGAGGTGGCCAGAAAACCCACCAAATCTCTCAATTCCGCCATCGGGTCACTCTGTACTAGGGCTGCAGGTGCTGCCCCTGTCTGATGAAATGGTCGCACTTGTGGCTGAGGTGGAACTGGCCCCTGTCTAGGCGGGTAGAGAGGCTGCTGCGGCTGCTGAAATTGCCCTTGTCTGGGCTGGTAAGGAGGCCTCTGGAAGCCAGGTGGTCCCTGGAAGGCTGGTGGTCTAGGATTTGCCCCAGCCTAGGAGAAGTTAGGATGTTGGCGCCACCCCTCGTTGTAAGTGTTGCTGTAGGGGTCGAAGGGCCTGGCATTACCGATGAAGTCCACCTGCTCCCGGGGAGTAGACGACTCCCTCATTGCCTGACAGTCCTCCACGGTGTGATGGGAGCTCTCACACCACTGACAGTGCATCGCCTGCGGCTGTCCGGTCCCGGGAATCATCCCAGATCAATCTATGGCTGAAACCCGCTTCGATACCACCTGCACCAAATTAGATGACTGGGTGGCTACAGCATGCACACCTCGCCCTGATTCAGCTGTGTCGGCATTTTGGTGAGCATATTCCCGCCACAGACCGAGTCAATCAGCTGCTTGTCTTCCGGGAAGAGGGCATGGTAGAAGGTGCCCACCTTGAAGGCGTCGGTAAAACCATGGTTGGGACACTTGAGGAAAAGACTGGTGTATCTCTCCCAAGCATCCCGGATGGTCTCATCTTCATCTTGAGTGAAGTGGGTGATTTGCTTCTGCAGGTCCGCCGTCTTGGAAGGGGGATGGTAGCGAGTGACGAACTTGTCCGCCAGGTTAGCGAACGTAGTGATCGAGCCGGGAGGTTGAGTGTCTAGCCACTCCTTGGCCTACCCCTCCAGAGTAAATGGGAAGTACCTCAGCTGGATGGCATTGGCTGGGACCCCATTTATCTTGATTCCATCGATCAACTCGTGGAATCGCCTCAGATGTGATCGGGGGCACTCTCCCTCCTTGCCACGGAACACCACCGAACCGCGTAACATCGTGATGACCGAGGTGCTCACCTCAAAGTTGTTCGCTGGCACATGAGGGTGCTGAATGGGTGACCTCATGTGCGCGGCTCTGGCGGTCCAGTAGTATCCCATGGTCTGCTCCTCAGGAATGACCACATCATGGTCCTGTGGGTCAGCCATCTCCTCTTCGTCGGCGATTTGCAGATGTGCTAGCGCCTCCTCCGCAGCCAGTTGTGCCTTTAGAGCCCGCTTGAAGTTCCTACAGGTCCGTTCAAGCTCCTACTCTTATGGTAGTAGTTCTCCCGACTGGCTACGGGTCATGCACTACCTGCACACAACCAGCAAAAGCAACCCGTGAAGGTACAGAGGTGGAAGAGAGAAAATGCAGTAAAGAAAAAGCTAGAGTAACAAACTTTCACGTTTCCCCAATAACCTAGAAGGTCCTGGCAACGGCGCCAAAAACTTGACACGCTAAAACACAACACCAAACTGCGACCAAGTGTAATCGCAATCCGGAAATGCAGTAACAAGCAAGCTCTATTGTCAACCCGGGTTCTAGATCTACAGCCTACTCTGTGAATATCTATTATCTAGCTAACTAAGTCAAGTGATTGTTGATTTAAGTAAAAGCAGTAAGAAAGCAGGAATTGGTTCGCTTTTCTGAAGCAAAGGAAGAGTCACTCGGGAATGAGTCCCCCTAGCTCCTTAGTTAGGTCTCAATTGTAATTACCCTGGGTTGATTTACTGTTGATTAAACTGCGGAAGATCCGACAGTAGCTTGGAATCTCTTAAGCTGACCAAGCCCTCTCAGTCCAACTACCCGGCAGGCGACTAACCTTCACCGGGATAGAAAGCTGAGGCTATGGACACAAAACTCCACTACCGGAATTGGATTCCAGTACAAAGCAGTATATTGACTAACTCTCGTATAACCAATCCACTACTACCGAATGAAGAAGCTCTAACAACCTAATCAGATTCTATCTATCTCAGGTTGCAGCAGAAATCAAGAAAATCTTATCAGACTTCAATTAATTCAATGAATCATGCATCATTCGATTATAATCAAACAGTATAACAATCCCAAGTCATTAAAATCAAGATCCCTAACACATGGAACTAGGGTTCTTCATACCCAAGTGAGAGAAAGTTCTATTCCATAGAGAGAGAGGGGAAAACAGAATACAAAGCAGTCATACTCATAACAATGGGAAGAATCTGCTCTAGGATGATGATTTTCACTCCTATGATGATCTCCAAGCTCGATTTGATGAAACCCAGCTCCAAGATCGCTTCTAGGATGTGTTCTTCGCACTTTCTCTCTCTAGGGCTCTGTTTTTGCTCCAAAAAGTCGATTCCCTCTCCTTTGGCTCGAAATTGGGTTAAAACCCAGATCTTCCCGATCACACGGCCAGGCCACACGGCCGTGTGGCTTACCCAGCTGCCCGTGTGAGTGCCAAAACGCGGAGTTTCGATTAAGTGGATCTCAGGCTTCCTACACGGCCAGGGGCACACGACCGTGTGGAATTCCCAGGGTGCCCGTGTGAAGGCTCGGTAAATCCCACACGGCCACATGGGTTCCTTACACGACCATGTGGGTTCTAGGAATGCCCGTGTGGCATCCTCAGCTTCTCGCCACACGTCCGATCTTCGTCCAATCGACCCCGAACTCATTTCCAAACCTTCATTCACGTACTAGGACCTGAAATATCACAAACAAGAACAACCTAGCTTGAAATCGGCCTAAAACACGAGAATCAACATCTCAAACGGTGTAAGAATAGAGGTAAAAACATGTGCAATTAACGGTCTATCAGAGCCTGTGTTGTTGTTGAAATCTTCCCAAAACTATGAGAAGAAAGTCATTCAGTACTGGTTCATCCAATGCATGGAGGATGGATGGGCTCCAACCTGTCCGATTACAGGAGTGGTTTTGAAGACCTTGGAATTGAAGGCGAATCTTGGGTTGGGGGGAGCAATCGAGGAGTGGATCAGTAGGAACGTTGAGATTCGGGTTAAAGGTGTTGTGGAGAATATCATTAGGGAGCCTATTGTCGTGGATTCCATCGAACGTGCATTGGACAATGTTTACTGGATATCTGAAGTACATTCCTCCCATCAGTATAAAGTAAGGAATGCTGGTCTTGTAGTGCTTATGGTTAAGTTGCTTAGGAATTCGTCCAAGGATATGGGCACACGTTTGAGGGGCAAAGTTCTTATGGCTTTGTTTAGCATGGCCAAGGATGAAGAAAGCAAGGTTAGTTTGCTTGCCTCTATTTTGGGATGTGGTATTACTCATTTTCTAGGACATTACCTTACTGACGTAGTCGTATCAGTTTGATGCATTATTTTTGTGAACCGTAGTTGTCATCACATGCCACCATAGTTGTTTCATCTCTTACAGTATTTCTGTTGTGCATTTCTTCCATCTCCTGGACGAGAAGTTGTATTGGGAGGTATATGAATGCTCTTTTCTGATGGAGTGCATTTGAATTTTATAGAACATAATGCTCGAAGGTGTCAGTAGACTGGCTATACATAGTCTTATTGGTACCTCAGAGAAAGAGCGAGAATATGTTGTGAAGCTATTGCTGGAGTTCACTAATGATGAAGATTATTGTATCAAAATCACATCAGAGGAAGGGGCACTAGTTCTTCTTTCCAGTATGGCAGGGAATTTGGATCATCCTGCTTTGTCAAATCTTGCAGATGAACTTTTGAAGAGGCTAGAACAGTTGGAAGAAATATTCAACCATTGGCAGTAGCTAGAAGATTTGAGCCCCTAGTTACTCGTTTATGTGAAGGTATATACCTATTATGCCCTTTTTGGTTGATTATCTGTTAATCATTTCTCATAAAATTGGAGCAGTGGTATAGAGACAGATATGTGTAACCATGCTAGATTTGTTTGTGAACTGTCCAAATGGATTAGAATGCAAGTTCAGTAAGATAAATGCAGGTGAACCTATGATGGCACGAATTTACTAACTTACTTGTGTTGCGGCCTCTTACTTGAACAGGTTCGGATGACGTTAAGACAGAGATGGAATCTATTCCCGGAAGGATAACTTTAACCAATAGCAGCAAAGAAGAACTTGCCAGGAGAAGTGCAAAGATACTTGTTGTGTTGTTCTCTAACCCTGAAGCTCAAAGGGCAAGCTTGAAAGCCTTGTGTAACCTATCAACTTTAGATGACAATGCAACTATCCTTGTTGATGCTGATGCACTTCCCGTGCTCACTGATATACTTTTGAAGAATGAGATAGTTTCATCAGAACACACAGACTTGGCTAAATCAGCAATTGCAAACATAGTATCAAATCCAGGGCACTGGGAGTTGGCAGCTGTGGACCAAAGAGGCCACACAATGCAGTCTGCTTCAATAGTTTCAAGTCTCTTAAAGCTTCTCTCAGTTGTCTCTTCTCAAGCTCAAGCTTCTATACTCCAAATTCTTTATGGAATAGCATCATCTCCGAGGGCTGCAAGTAATATTCTGCACTCAGCAGCCTGAAACTCTTCTTTTAGCCTTTTATCTCTGATAGAAATTGTAGTTGAGAAAGGGGAATTGGGAATTAAAGAATAGAAGGAATTAGGGATTAGAATAATTGGGGAAGAATTGAGAGAAGAAAAGATTAGGGATTTAATTCTTTCTTATTGCTTAATCTGAAAATACTGTTCTAAACCCTTATATATGGGTACCGAAATAACAAGCAAACCCGGGCCAAGCGGCCGACCCACCCTACTCGCCTAACCCGCTCGGCGGGTTTCTATCATCCCCTCTCCCTTCAGAATCGACCTTTCCCTCAAGGTCAAAGGTGGGGTAATGCTGCTTCAGCAGGGAAGTCTCTTCCCAAGTCGCGTCCTCTGGCTCCACATGCTGCCACTCGACTAGGATCTCCTCCACAATGCGATCCGCCTTCCTCGTCCACCTCGTCTCAAGCACCCGCAGTGGCTTCAGCTTTAGGTCTTCGTCGGCAGTGACAGGAGGAGCCATAGTCTCTACCCGATGCACCGTGGTACTTCTTCATCAAGGACACATGAAACGTCGGGTTAATGCGAGCACCCGCAGGAAGCTGTAACCTATACGCCACCGGATTGACCTTATCCAACACCTCATAGGGTCCAAAGAACTTCGCTGCCAGCTTCTGGTAGGCTCGCTGGAAGACTGAAGCCTGACGGTAGGGATGTAAGCAAAGCAACACCCAATATCCCACCTCGAACTCTTCCTCCCGTCTCTGCACGTCTGCCAACTGCTTCATCTTGTTATTAGCTGCTGCCAGGTTGGCCTTGAGCTGCTTCAAAGCTTCATCACGCGCTCCCAACCACCAATCCACCGCATTCACTACACTCGCTCCGCTCCGGTAGCACACCATGGAAGGAGGAGGTCGCTCATACAGAGCCTCGAACAATGACATCTTGATAGCTCGGTGATAGGTGGTATTATACCATAACTCTACCCATGGAACCATGGCCAACCAGTTCTTTGGCTGCTGGTGCGCAAAGCAGCGAAGGTACTGCTCCAAGTGCCTGTTAATCACCTCGGTCTGTCCAGCCGTCTGAGGATGATAGGATGAACTCATCCACAATGTGGTCTTGGCCATGGAAAATACCTCCTGCCAGAAGCGACTCAGAAAAACGGAGTCCCGATCACTTACTATAGACCTAGGAAACCCGTGGTGCCTCACCACCCCCAGCACAAACTATTCTGCTACTGCCTTTGCCGTGTACGGATGTGCTAAAGCCATGAAGTGCGCATATTTGGTGAGTCTGTCAACTACCACAAACAGGACGGTCCTTCCTCTTGAAGGTGGAAGACCGACAATGAAGTCCATGCTGATGTCCTCCCATACCTGTTCCGGGATCGGCAACGGCTGTAGCAGACCCGCAGGTTGAAGCTGCGAAGCCTTGAACCTCTGGAAAGTGTCAAAGAAGTCCACATAACTCCTCACATCCTGACCCATCTGCGGCCAGTAGAACTGAGCTCGAACCCGGCGAAGAGTGCGCTCCACCCCGGAATGGCCACCGAAGGGTGAATCATGGAACTCCTGCAGTATGGTCGTCACCAATGATGATCCCCGTGGAAGGACTAGGCGTCCTTTGAAAAATACCAGGCCTTGCCGAAAGGTATAGTAGCCCGGGTTCTCGCTATCCGCGATGGCCCGACACTCCTGTAGGTATGGATCCGTCCCTATCAACTCGCGTAGGGCGTCCCAGAACTGGGGTATTGAACCCGTCACTGCCGCGAGTATCTCACCTCCTGGTTTCCTGGAAAGCCCGTCTGCAACCACGTTAGTGGGACCCCGTAGGTAGTGAATCTCGTAGTCATATCCCAACAGCTTAGAGACCCACTTATGCTGATCTGGTGTAGAAATCTTCTGTTCTAAGAGGTTCTGTAGGCTTTATTGGTCGGTGTAGACGTGGAACTGCTGCCCCTGTAAGTACGGTCTCCATGCCTGTATTGCAGTGATGATAGCCTGCATTTCCTTCTTATAGGTCGACCATGCTTCCTTGGACGGGGCCAAGGTCTTGCTCAGATAAGTTATCGGGTGACGGTCTTGGGATAGTACCGCCCCGATTCCCCTGCCGGAAGTATCAGCTTCAATCACGAACGGCTTAGAGAAGTTCGGCATAGCCAGAGTGGGCGTCATCGTCATAGCCTGCTTCAGTGCCTGGAATGAGTCCTCCGCCGCCTGAGACCACTCAAATCCGCCCTTCTTCAGAAGATTAGTCAGAGGTCAAGCGATCATGTTGTACCCCTTGACAAACTTCCGGTAATACCCCGTCAGTCCCAAAAAGCCTCTCAACTCTGTCACCGTAGTTGGAATCGGCCACTCCATCATTGCCTGAATTTTGGTCTGGTGAACCCGTACTCCTTGAGGCGTCACAACATGCCCGAAATAATCCACCTCCTGACTCCCAAATGCACACTTGAAAGCCTTGACATAATACTGGTGTTGGCGGAGTATCTTGAACACTCTCTGTAAATGCTGTAAGTGATCCTCTCAGGAGGTACTATAGACAAGTATATCATCAAATAACACCAAAACATATTGGCGAAGGAGAGGATGGAATATATCATTCATTGATGCCTGAAAAGTCGAGGGTGCATTACACAAGCTGAACGGCATTACCAGGTACTCATAGTGTCCGTTATGATTCCGGAAGGTCGTCTTATGCACATCCTCCTCCTCCATCCGTATCTGGTGGTACCCAGCCTGTAAATCCAGCTTGGTGAAGTAGGCCGATCCGTGGAGCTCATCCAACATATCATCAATGGTCGGAATCGGGAACCTGTCCTTCAGTGTCGCCTTATTGAGGGCCCGATAATCTGTACAGAAATGCCATGTCCCGTCCTTTTTCTTTACCAGGAGTACCGGTGAAGAAAACGGACTGGTTCTTGGGCGAATCAACCCTGTCTAGAGCATCTCTCCCACCTGGCGTTCAATTTCTTCCTTCTGCGAGTGCCCATACCGATAGGGTCGTACATTCACAGCTTCCACCCCTTCCTTCAAGTTAATACGATGATCAACCTGACGGTGAGGAGGAAGGGTCGTGGGAGTCTGGAATATATCCGGGAATCGGTCGAGCACGGCCTACAGATCAGCCTCGAGGGTCTTCATCTCTGGCGTCGTCAGCGACCAACAGAGGACCGCGAAGTCCGCCTCACCTCCGGCTGTGCACTCTCTGATGGAAATCGACCACATCACCGTGGTCAATCCCTGCAAAGTCCACTCCTTATCCCTCCATTTAAAACACATAGTCAGCCTAGTCCAATCACTGATAACCGGACCCAGACTACATAGCCACGGCATCCCCAGTATCACATCATACCCCCTGATCGGAAGCACATACAGATCCACTAAGAATTCCAAACCCTGAATGTCGAGTCTGAGGCCTCGGTAAACCTTGTTACATCACATGGGTGCGCCATTCGCGACCTTGACCACCAACGGCTCCACCTCGCACGCCTCCTGCATTAGTGTTTCCGCAAACTCCGCCCCAATGAAGTTGAGTGAAGCACCGCTGTCCATCAAAGTCATGGCAGAGCGCTCGTCGATCTTTGCACGGAAACGCAGTGTCTCCGGGACCGCTTGGCCCGCCACCGAGTCGAGAGACACACTCAGTCCACCCCCATCGGCCGGCTGATCGTGCGGCGCGATGGCCTCGGTAAGCCCTACCGATCTCCCCTGCTCCGCTTCGTCCACGGCGGCCGTCGCCGCCTCTGCCATCTCGGCGCCCAGGATCTCCACCGCGTTGCCTATCGCCATCACCGCGGCGGCCTCAGTCAGCCCCGCCGACCGTCACCGCCTTGCCTTGCCCACGGCGGTACCCGCCGCCATCTCCAACATCTCGCCCTCGGCCGCCGCCCTCTCCGGCGCTTCCCGTTCGTAGCGGTCAAGAGACTGCTGCAACCATTGACTGAGACGAATCCACTCTGCATCGAAGAACTTGGATGGGTTTATTCGGGCTCCGATACCAGATGATAGAAACATGTAGTTGAGAAAGGGGAATTGGGAATTGAAGAAGAGAAGGAATTAGGGATTAGAAGAATTGGGGAAGAATTGAGAGAAGAAGAGATTAGGGATTTAATTCTTTCTTAGTGATTAATCTGAAAATACTGTTCTGAACCCTTATATATGGGTACCGAAATAACAAGCAAACCCGGGCCAAACGTCCGAACCACCCTACTCGCCTAACCCGCTCGGTGGGTTTCTATCAATCTCCCCTCTCCTTCCTTTGATACGATACTATTGAGTTTAGGACTTGGTTACAAACGTTTTTCACGTCAGACACCAACTCATGGCATCAGTTGAAACGAAAATTCTGATTTTACAGAATCAGTTTCAAATAGAATAAAGAATGTCGATGGCATCAAAACAGTTTTACGTTATCTTGAGCACCCGGAAGTTGGACATCGAATCAGTGCTTATAGACTTACAAGATTGCTCTAAAAAAGGTTTGCTCAAGACTTATTCTCTGAGCTACAAACTTGTAACAAGAGTTTATTGTTGAAAGACAAACTAATGGATGACCAATCTACAGATACTGGGAGATCTGATGCTGCGTGCATACTGGTCAACCTTCCTTTCTCGGGTGACGAAATGAAATCACCGCTTGAGGCTAGTTTTGTAAGATGGATAGTCTCCCCTCCCAAAAATCGAAATCGCAGCGCCAATGGCAAAGCATCAAGCATAACAGAAGGGCTTCTTGGCCTACTGCTACATTTCACTAAGAATCTTGGTGATCATCAAACTGTTAGCCTGGTGAGAGAACTTCGTCTGATGAATCTTTTTCGGGAGGAGCTCAGTTTTCCTTCAAAGCCAAGACTAAAAGAACTATATGCTCTTGGGCTAAGAAACTTATCAGAAGCCAGAAGGTTATTAGCTGCCACGAACCCAGAACCGATACCTCCCCGAGATTTTTGTGTTCCCATCATCTTCTTATGCAGCCGAGGCACTCTCGAACTTTCCACTTGCCCACTACACAATGCCTCGTGTGATGATGGCGGTC